ATTACATAATAAAAACGTCGTTTTCGGCTCGTTTTGAGGCAAGATTTTGTTTCAAAAAATATCAGTAACTTTTAAATGGTGTAGACGAAATTGTTCCCCCTTTGGTATTTTAACAAAGAATTGGTTTGAAATAAATCAATGTGAAAAAATTAATAGGTCTTCGAGTTAGTTTTCGCGTAATTTAAATGTGGATAATTGCTTTTATATCACAAAATGTAACATTTTTAAGAACGACGTCATAAAATATCACTACGTCATGCTTGACGTCGTGAATATCTATCCGGTATTCAGTGCAGAAAAATAAGATAAAATGATTTTTACAAAAAAGAAATTCAGGGGTGTGCAATTAAAAAAATTAAGCACTAGCCCACGGGCTAGTGGCAGCAATAAAGTTACTAGCCCCATGTAAAAAGTTACTAGCCCAAATGTGTGTGTGTGTGGGGGGGGGGGGGGGGGGGGGGAGTAACAACCAATATTAAAAGAAAATAGTTTATTGTTGAAAAGGTCAGAGTTTTTAATGTCATTCTTTTTAAAATTAAAGTCTAACTCTCACTAAGTTTAATTCTCACTAGTAAAATTAAATCATGTATAAATTAATAATTATGATAGTAAATAAAATGAATTCAAATAAATTATCTTATCTAAAATGAAATGAAAATCTTTTTTTTTTTCATCTTAAATCATTAAATTTGCTGGAAATATATTCTATGTAAACCACATAACACTTATTTTTCAGTTGATTGAGTGGTCGCAAATAATTTAATGAGATATCTGCATGTGTATTTACCATAAACAGAGGAATAGAGGAAATTCGGATTAGATAAAAACGATCGTTTTTGGAAGTAAATAAGTCAGGTGGTACTGCAAAATGGATAAGATTATGGAGATTTACGAAAAATAGGAGCATGCTGCCGAAAATTTTTCATTGCTTGAGAATTTAATAGCAAAAAATGAGTGAAAACACCGATAGTGATTTTCATGTATTATTACATTGGTAGTTTTAATTTTTACTAGCCCAAGGGGCTACCTCCGTGCAGAAAACTACTAGCCCGACCCCAAAAATGGTAGCCCCGGGCATCGGGCGATGCTAATTGCACACCCCTGAAATTCACATCTATCCGCTTCAAGTGACCCGTGAATCTTATCATAATAATTCAATATCAATGAAATGATTATTAGACATGTTTCTCTTGAGATTAGGGTTTTTGTACGTTTTATATTAGTGAAAATTCTCGCAAGGGACGTAAAACAACAATCAAATGAGTCAATCCTTTAGTTTCTTCCAATTTACTTTCTTTATGTGTTGTTTTCTTACCGTTTCTTTTCTATCTGTTTTGTTTTGCTTTTTTTCGTAGATTAGACGTATCCTTACATTTGGCTGTGTATTTTTCTTTTCCAGCGTGCTGGCGGAAAACGGTATCCTCTAATTCAAGTAATTCAAGTATATAAAATGTGTTTATTTAGACCATTCAGCAAGGTGCTCAAATCAACGAATTTCTGCCAAATATCATCCCGGCGAAATACAATATATTTTCAGTATATATTTAAACAAAATATTTATTCTTACATACCACATTTTCAGAGGGGTAAATGGGACGAGAATTTAAAAATTTTATCTGACGTAATCAACAGCAGAACATTAATTCTACTTGTTGGACATGGAAAGCAAAGTAGCGAATAAAATCTGTAGGTAACACCATTGCAAGCTGTTGCTTAGTGGACGATCATTTCATTTGGGGGGGGGGGGGGCTTACATATTTTGGAAATAATAATCTGTCCTCGACTGGGCAAGAAAATAAATAATCTGTCCATGACTAGTTCTAGACCCCCCCATACCCCACCCCCCCGATGGGAGTTTTCAACTTTGGCTTTTTTTTTTTTTTTTTTTGCTTGTCAGACTTTTTTCAGTCAAGAAGAAATAAATAATCTGTCCTTGTTTTTTGTGGAAATAAATAATCTGTTTTTCACCGACAGGAAAATAAACAATCTGTCTCTGTAAAATTTGCCACCCCCTCTCCCTCAGAATCAAATAGTTGTAACCTAAGAGGAGGTCAGTGTCGCTAACAAATTGTCTTTATGTTTCATCGTACCTTAGCAGTATTTAATTTATGATAAACTTGTAGATCTATTTATTTTAAAAATATCCTTTTTAAAAATAAAATTAATCTTTTGATGTAACAGGTGTGTTTGCGATTTTTTTTTAAATAATGGCTTCTTTATTAATAAATCAAACTGTTAATTCAATTACGATCAAAGGAAGAAAGGTCAGTTGAACCTTGTGTCCATATCGTTTCGCGATACCAAGTGAAAACAAATCAATCGCAATTTCTCGGGCCTTTCCGACAAGCCGAAAAACAACCACTTGTTTTTCCAAGCTTGCAGGAAAGGCCCGAGAAGATGCGATTGATAACAAATATAATTAAACGTTTTTTAATACTTCCAGTGTCGATCATTCGAATCGTAATAAGCCTTCTTCACTAAATTACCAATTCCAACAAAAGTTATATGTAAGTATTGTATTGACTATACAAATCGTAAAAAGTCTTCATTATTTGTGATAAGTTGTTGCTTAAATAATATAACACTTAACTACCAATTCCAAGAAAAGTTATAGCTAAATAATGATATACTGAAGAATTTAATAAAACAAAAACCATCGCAGATTTCTTTTTCATTGTGACGTCATAATCAAATGTGCACAAGAAAGTCACCCAAATCATATAAATTGCGTACCCAGTTTTAACGACGTCAGCAAACCCGCGTAAATTAATGTTATGCTAAAAACGAAGTTATACAATATTAAATTTGTGAATGAACTAAGTTAATACATGTGATAAGATGACAAATCAAATTGTATTGTGATGGCGAGTTTCTTCTTCTTCGCCGCGTCTCATTCGATATCGTTGCTGCTATTTTTACAATATTAACAGATTTTTCAGATTTTTTTCTTGCTGACATTTATGAAATATAAGGTTGGATATTCAATTTCATATCGATAAAATCAGTGATTTGGTCGTCCACAATGCAGAAAATTCAGGTTGTATCGCGTATATTTTAGTAAGATTAACGTGAAGAGTGAACAGCCATTGTCGCCTTTGATGTCACAGGGTCACGTGATCGCTATCTAATTAACTTAGATTTTTAATTCAGGGGTTTTAATTTGAGTCAATAAGTATTATTTAGAGAACGAGACAGGTACTGTATCGTAGATACAAATTTGGGGTGAACGAGTGCGTAGCACGAGTCTCCACCCCAAATTGGTATCTACGATACAGAACCTGTCAAGTTCTCTAAATGATTTGTAACACGATCATTCAAAAAAAAGCACCGCCCACTTCATACCTGTGCAGCATCCAAACTTCCGCCAGAGTTCGTTTGTTCTTTCTGTAGATGAGGGCTCGACGGGGAGTATACATCCGCAGTATACATATATTTTCAAGGACAACGTAAGATTTAGTCAGATTAGTTTTGACAATGGGGTAGACGTAACAGACTCAAAGTCAGTCTCAATTGATAAGGTGGACAATTTAACCTTAATTGTTGTAAATGGAGATTGATCCGAATTTATTTCAGGGGTCTTAAAATCTCAGTTAACTAAAGATACACATACAGGTGATACAGACAGTTTTTTGATGAACATTATGGATTTTTATTTTCTTATTGAAATGTGACATTAAAAATGAAGTGAAAGAGATGTGCGGCAGTCGTCAGCGATAAGGATTTAACATGAAATTTTTTTAAAAAAAATCCCGAAAAATAGACTTGATTGAGTTTACATGAGAAGAGTGGAAAATGGGGGAAGGGGAGTGCGAAATTTCACGTAATGTATGTTGCATCCACGAACCGATTGGCTTTACTATTTTGAAGGGGACACAAAAAGCAGGGAAAACAAACAGGTTTTCAGGAATTTCTCTAACATAGGATGTTTTCCATAATTGCAACTTTTCCTTTTCTTTGGATCGAAATAACGTGTAGATTCCGTGTGAAATAATTTTTTTAAGAGTGATTGAGAAATTTTGACATTTTACATTCTGAAGGAAATATTTCTTCAAATTTATAATAGGAAAAAAATCAGCATTTACTATTTGTACGTGCTTTTGATAAATTGAATCAGATTTATTTTTAGACCATGCTGTATTTTAGATACAGAACAGTTGGCTAATACAAGACAGTATACAGAGCTAATACAGAATGGAAAGTAGCTCTGCCCACTGAATTTCCCTTCTGTATTGCTAATACAGAACAGCAAACTTCAAAGAAAAACACCGCAATCGTGTGACAATTGGTTAATTATCGAGGTTTATCCGCAGTAAAAACACAAAATTTATAAACTGTGGTCATAAGGAACGTTTTATGCTTTTAATTTCAAATAATTTAGAAACATGCGATAAGTCCTTTAAGTTTGAATTCATGTTGCCTAAAAATGGGTGCATGGTTCTTCATTTGTAAAAATCTGAATCCCCTGTACCCAAGGATGCTTTTAAAAAATTGTGACAAGTTGGCTGAAATTAGCACAGTGGTTCTGGAGAAGAAGTTGAAAATGTGAAAAGTTTAGAGACAAAACAGGACATACAGACGGACGGATGGATCCCGGACCCTTTTGATCAACAAAAAATCGCTCAGGTGAGTTACTTCATGCATTAAAATGTGAATTTTTTTGTAAAACTTGTTAAATCTTGTTTTATGTGTATTGATAGAAACTAAATTGAAATTTAACGTATGAAGCTGAGATAAAATTTTGTTTCAGACTTGTAATGCAAAATATGAGCAATTTTTTTTTTCTAAAATCAGCGACCTGAACAAGTTCAAATAATGGACCCAAGTTCTTTAAGTCAATATCGGTTTGTGCATTGTAACATAACGATTCGCGCAATAGCTAACTAGACAGCTAATCAAACTTTGCGACAGCAAACAAAAAGGCAAAAGTATTCTTCTCTGGTTACATAAATTTCATTTAAGTCAGTGAATTGTGTTATAAAACTTGTTACAAACTGTTTTACCTTTCACAGCTCTCTGGAATTTCCTCTTATTGTCAACAATGCAACATGCTGATTTGGTGAAGTACGCATGCGTAAGACCCCCTGCAAGTCAAACAAAACTGTGCATGCTTTGAGTTATCTTTCTTTGTACAAACCAAATATACATTTCCCCCAGAGTTGTTTATCTTTCATCATATTGCTCAGATCTCTCTCCCTCCCAGGGCCTGGTAGAGCGTGAGGGGGAGGAAGTCTGCTGATATTTTCATACATGTACTCTATGGATTGGCAGTACTTAAATGAAACACTAAAAAGGGATAAACTTGTCACTTATTTGTTTCTGAAGAACAATTTTAGACTAGAACAAGATGTATTTGCGAAACACTGATGCCCCCGTATGGCAGCTTATGAAGAAGGTTAAAGTTTCTCAAATGCAAGTCAATATTTAAGCCAAAAGATAAAAAATGTTGGTACCCAAAGAAAGGTCTTGTCTCGAGGAATATACCTGTGAAATTTGAAAGACCTAGCTGCAACTGTTCAAAAGTTATGGCGAAGGTTTAAAGGTCAAAGGGTCAAAGTGGTTGGTATCCAAAGGAAGGTCTTGTCACAAGGATTACATATGTGAAGTATGAAAGCCCTAGCACCAACAATTCAAAAGTTATGGCCAAGGTTAAAGTTTTTCAAAAGTAGGTCAAACTCCTAGGTCAAGGTCAAAGGGTCAAAGTGGTTGGTATCCAAAGGAAGGTGATGTCAAAAGGATTACATATGTGAAGTATGAAACCCTAGCATCAACCATTCAAAAGTTATGGCCAAGGTTAAAGTTTTTCAAAAGTAGGTCAAACTCCTAGGTCAAGGTCAAAAGGTCAAAGTGGTTGGTATCCAAAAAAAAAGGTCTTGTCACAAGGATTACATATGTGTGAAGTATGAAAGCCCTAGCTCCAACCATTCAAAAGTTATGGCTAAGGTTAAAGTTTTTCAAAAGTAGGTCAAACTCCTAGGTCAAGATCAAAGGGTCAAAGAGGTTGATATCCAGAGGAAGGTCTTGTCACAAGAAATACACATGTGAAGTTTGAAACCCCAAGCACCAACTGTTCAAAAGATATGACCAAGGTTAAAGTTTTTCAAAAGTAGGTTAAACTCCAAGGTCAAGGTTAAAAGGTCAAAGTTGTTGGTATCCAAAGGAAGGCCTTGTCACAAAGAATACACATGTGAAGTTTGAAACCCCAAGCACCAACTGTTCAGAAGTTATGGCCAAGGTTAAAGTCTCATAAAATTTTGCAAAAGTGGGTCAAACTCCAAGGTCAAGGTCAAAAGGTCAAATTTGATGGTACCCAAAGAAAGGTCTTGTCACAAGGGATACACATGTGAAATATGAAAGTCATAGCTCCAACCAATCAAAAGTTATGGGCAAGGTTAAAGTTGACAACAGACAGACAGACAAATGGACAAACGGACAAACAGACAGACAGGACAAAAACAATATACCCCCGGGATCTTTCAATCCGGGGGCATAAAAATATCTGATTTTATTAAAACCTGAATACAGAAAGCCAATTTGTAGATTACGTGTATCAGCACACAGACTCTTTATAGAATTAGGCAGATATGATAACACACCTAGAACAGAAAGAATATATAAAAATTGTATGCTTAATCAAATTGAAGATGAAGAACATTTCCTTATTCACTGTAGCAAATTCACAAAGGAAAGAGAAGACCTATTTAACTTAATCTCATCCAAAGTAAAACATTTTACAAAATTTGCCTGATAAACAACAATTATTCTGGATTCTAAACTGTGAGGAATTAGATATTTTGAATTTTCTTGGAAGATTTTTACAAAAAACATTACCATAAGTCAAGTCTGAGGCATGTGAACTGTTTTATGATAAATTATGCAAAAAAAAAAAAATGTACTTTAATATGTGTATGATATAAATATGTAAATTTGCATATATATGATGTATGATATTATTTGTGCAGAATTTATGTACATGTATATGTATAAAAACTATCTGGTTTATTCATTTTTATGTCTTTCTACTATCAATCATGCAACTCTTTCTCTCTTGTGTGTATGTATATTGTATTACATGTATATGACTATATAAAAATGTTAATTTACAATGTACTTTCTTTTTGCCCCATGAGGGCCCTTAATTGATAAATAAACTAATTGAATTGAATTGTACTTAAATCAACTGGCTCTCCCATTATTTTGTTGTAGACAAAAAATATTTTCTGATGAAAATGAGTTTTACCAACACCCCCCCCCCTTTTATTAAGAATTAGGAGTTTTGTGAAACAGTCCATTATCCCCCTTTTATGGCTTGTCAAAGTTTGTTTGTTTGTTTGTTGTTTTTTTTTTTTAAGTTTTTATGCCCCGCCCCCCGCCATGAAATGGTCGGGGCATATAGTTTCCGTCTGTCATTCCGTCATTAAATTGTCATTCCGTATATCATTCAGCCATAGTTAGTTTTCCAGACTTTATCTTTGCTATGCTTGTAGATAATAAACTCATTTTAGTATATTCCTTCATATTGATGACTTATAGATCAAGTTTTGAGTTGATTGGACCATATGGCCCTTAGACTTTGAGAATTTATTGAATATAATTCACTGCGTTTTCCGGACATTCTTTTTTTCTGTCCTTGTAGATAATAATTTTGATTTTTGGTCTTTTCTTACTGATGACTAACAGATCAAGTTTAACTTTCGTGTTGATTGACTCATTTATAAAAGTAAGTTCCTACTTGAAAAACTTCCAATTATTCAGTTTTTCTGGAATTTCGAAAATTATGACCCTTGACTTTCAATATCTATATACCTTCTGCTTTTTTAAAATTTTATTTTCCTCTGCTTCTAGATAACTTCCGTTAATGTTGATGACTTTCAAATCGAGTTTGGCATTGACTGGCCCATAAAAAAAACCCTTTAGACTTTGAACATTTTCAATCATCGACTGTTTTGAAAATCAAAACAGCAATATGATATTTTATTTTTGTGTCATTTCTACGGCACCCATTGTTATTTTTACAACTTGCACTTTCACATATTTAAAACTTGCATGTTGACGAGGTGTTTTTTTTTTTGGGGGGGGGGGTGTTTTGTTTTTGAGGGAAGGGCTTGTCAATCTCCCCCTCAACTTTGAAAAACGTTGCTACAGGTCTGCTATGTAGAAAAAATGTAACCATTTTTATTTTTGCAACAACAACAATAATAAATAAATAAATAAATAAATAAATAAATAGATAAATAAATAAATAAATAAATAAATAAATAAATAAATAAATAAATAAATAAATAAATAAAATAATTTTTTAAAAATCACAGATCGTTAAGAATTTATCATTAGAAAAGTAAATTGAATAATTAAAACTCTTTGAGTGACGTCATCTTTAAAATAATGTTTGTTTGCCCTCACCCGACTCAGGGTAGGGAGATGCAATCTTTTTTCCCGAGAAAATTTCAACATACTTGTGGACCTCTTGACGGGATGAGAAAATTCAGGAATGAAAAGAAAAAAATCGTTTCCTGGAGGTTAAAAAAAGTTTTGAGTCGGGTCATTTTTAGCCAGTCGGTCGGAAGAGGGCAAACAAACATTTTTTTTTTTAAAAGATGGCCTGGGAAAGATTTTTTTTAAGCTTAACAGGGACATCTCCTACCTTTTTACCGTCGATCGTATGTATTGAATCAGATTCAATTTTTATTAAGTAGGGCATACATGAAAAATGATTTATTTACAGCAACCAGAAGTGTATATGCATATTTGATTTTATATGTGATTATCTGACCAACCTGTAAATTAATAATTATTACCTTTCTGTGAAAGTTTTGTAAACATGGAGACTGGGAGGTTATATAGTTCGTCAGATGATCCAACAATTAAAATTACCTCCTCCCCCCCCCCCCAAAAAAAACCCCTTAAAACATTATTTTAATGATGAGATTATGTGACCTTAATAATTTAGACTGAGGAGTCTTACAACACATCTGAATAAAACCCCGTAGGATGTATTTTATTTCCCCATTCTGCTTGTGTTAGTAAACAATTTCACCGTCTGCCTTCCCTTGACCCGAAGAAGCCAATCTGTTACATGCACTGGCTCAGCTGATTGACACCTAAATTTAGTAACTACAAATATGGTAATGTCATAGAGCAGTCTGCATTCCAGACGAATTGAGTTCTAATTGAGACTTTCAATATATTAAATATGGGTTTGCAGTTATGTTTTTTATAGAGAAAGTTATATTGAATTATGATAATTGTTTTGGTTTTAGATATTTTAAAAATAAATTTTGCAGTACTTATTGGCATAAAAAACACAAACAGTTGAAAAAGAGAGCCTAATATAAAAAACATTGTGTATAGATTCTCCTTACCTAATTCTTGGCAGTGTGCCAAACAGCTGTTGGTTTGTTTCCCGCGTCTTGCCAACGGAGATCAAGTGCGGCTTGGGAAAGTGAATCGATTGCGCAGTAAGAAAGAATCCCATATGTTTCGTGCAAGCACAAAATTACATTTTCAAAGTTTGCCATAGAAATGATACGTTTCAATACATTCTTATTTTTTTATCAACTCTTATAGAATGGGAAGTAAATTCAATGTTATAAAATTGAAATTCATGGATACGACCAGAGCACTGCCTTCGTGAATCGACCTACAGCTGTTTCCCGCCAATTAATACTCATTCTACTGAAGCCACGACGACCCGGTAGTAAACCTTGCAAATACAACTTTAATATTTCCTTGGATTTAACTGTTGTAAAGTTTGTGATTTCAAGGGAGTTATGATGTCGAATGTGTACAGGAGTAGTGACAGAAGAAAATTGTACTCCGAGTACGAATTGCAAAGAGAGGATTTAACAGCTGTTCTGGGAAGGTGAGTAGCGACGCGAGTACGCACGCCTTCCACAATATAAACATTGCGTAGCGGCTTGTAGGCCAAGCTTGTTTTGCATTTTTTTCTATTTCGCCAACTTCAGTTTGATTTTAAAAGTTCACATTATGATTTTATATGATATAAAGCATGTTATTGCACACTATTTTACTAAAATTATGTGTTGATATTGTTGTACTTGGATGCCAAAGTTTCTATGTTAGCCGGAGCACGAGACCGCACATGGCGTGACTGAAAACAAAGGGCAGACAACTTACCGGCTACGTTGCATTTCTTTGCAGTGTTTCAATTAATTAACACACGTGGGACCATTTTTTACTTTAATCTGTTTATCATATATCAAATTATTACGATTATCTGTTGTTTAAACAAAAATCAAAATAAAACCAGTTCTTATTGCATACGTATCTAATATGTTCGCAAAATATGCTGCGACGTCTTTATTTGACCTTATCTGGAAACAATTTTTTGATATGTCTTGTAAGTCAACAGAAACATATAACAATAGATCAGTACATTTGTGTGATACATTGGTACACTTTTTTTGCATGACGCATACAAAACAGCTGAAAATTGAACTGTAAATAGAAAAAAAAAAAAGTTTTGGCACAGTTCCAATGTTTTCCATGTCATATGATAATTGTTACTTAACACAAGTTTGTTCTGTTTGCATCAATGTGTATTTATTTGTTAGGTTACCTGGACAGGAAATATGTATTTTTACATATAAATATAGAGAGTAGAAAATAATAAATAAATATGGTGGAAGCAAAATAAGAAATTGCAAAGTTTGTTAAAAGATCTATGTGATATGTATTTAGAATGTAATACAAGGAATTTTTTTATTCTTGGGAAAGTGATCAATGTTTGAAAATAGTCATTTCTAAAAGTATTTGCTAGTAATAATTCAATGATATTTGTACTTTGTATTTTTTTTTAAAAAATGATTTTTGAGTTGGGTAAATTCTTATGTGGAAAAAAATTATAGTTGTATTTTGTGTGACTTCAATAATCAAATTATTGCAGATCACAGTCTATACCTGGGAAACCTCATATGGAACATGAGAAAAAGATGAGGAGAGAGATTGCTAACAGCAACGAGAGAAGAAGAATGCAAAGCATTAATGCTGGTTTTCAGAGTTTAAAATCCTTGATTCCACACAGTGATGGAGAGAAATTGAGCAAGGTAAATTTGTGTGTGTACATATAAACAATTTTAAATGATTATGAACCAAAAAAATGTTATAAATATGAAAAAATTGCTCATCATTATTCAAGAGTAAAAAATTGTGAGCATTGCAGTTGTGAAAGAGGATTTGAAAGGGGGGGGGGGGGTTGGAACAAGAATGACACAGCAGTCAGGTGTAGGAATGTTTATCATGTTAAGGTATTGGGTGACATTTCACCTGATAGTAAAGTGAAATGTGTATGTATTTCTTGGCTCTGTGCCCTGAATCATCAATTGATGGACATCAGAGTTCTCTGCATGGAAATAAATTAGTCAGTCTAGACAAGCTGTAACTGCTGTGTTTAGGAGAAGCTGTGTAGCAGTTATCACTTCCCAGCCTGTCTGAAAGCAGTTATTGATCTTGTATAATCATTATCAGACATAATAGTTGACTCGCAGACCTCTGGGTCTCCTTTACCACAAGCAGATTAAGATAGGTTTTTAAAACTAATTAGATGTGCATACATTTTGATGTCCTTGTGGTATATAGGTCATAAAGTAGTTTTACTGTGTGCATTATTAATTGTAAATTTAGTGTCTGATAAGGCTGAATTAATATTTTTATGCTGTAAGAAATCAGCATTAAATAAGTATGAAAGTATTCTTGACACTTTTTATAGGCATGAAACTGATAAACTTCCAACTCATGTTCCCTTTGAGAGGAGTGGTTTGTATTGAATGGGAAATCCAGTAGGCAAGAAAATTGTTTATGTAAGCATTCGTTCACAAGGGCTGTGTGTAAAGAAAGCCCCAAATTACAGAGCTGTAAGTGTTTGGTGGTTACCACAAGATAGTTGTAGACAAATTTAGATCAAGAAGGATGGGTCAGGACAGGTTTGTGATGATGTGCCAGTAAAAGAAAATATTCTGAAATTATATTTCACCTGAGATTCCAGGGATGCCTTTGGTTATAGAAGAACCTAAATATGAAATTACTCAGGTGTAACACACTATGTGCCATTCATGAAATGTGTGTGGAGATCATGTTTACTGAAGGGTTTACAGATTGAAAGAACTGTAGTTCTTGGGAGTTGATAGTAGAGATTCACAGGTGAAAAGATGTGCAGATTTTAAAATGACTATGTAGGTCAGTGACATTAGTGAAACATAAATGAGAGTATTGATTGTGTCGAAAGAACAGACATCTAGGTATACAAACATTGCTTGGTCACTGGGTCCTGGGTAAAATAAACAGAAATTATGCAAACAGTACTCCTTGGCAAATTGCCAGAGAGTAGTGGGCTATCAGCTGATCTAGTAAATCACGCCAAAATAAAGTGTCTCATTCAATGTACAGAATGTACTCTTAAATTAAAATAACACAAATGCATGAATGTTTCTCTGTGAAAACAAAATAAATAAATAAATAAAATTGACACAAAGGTAGTACTGGTAGAATTGTGTCAAGAATTTTTAGTAAGATTGAAGCTGTTTATTGAGAAATTGTTGCATTTTATTTTAATTTTGTTTTTAGGCTGCCATTCTGCAGCAGACCTCTGATTACATTGAGCAGTTGGAAAGTGACAAGACCAGACTTTTAGCCATCAACAACCAACTGAGCACTCAACTAAAGCGGTTATTGGGGAGCGATTATGAGAAACAAGTATCCATCAACAACTATAACCCATCTCCACCAACGAAACGGAAGAAGCGAGATACAGGTACCCTATTCATTGTGGCTACATATTTTCAGTAGATTTTACTTTGTAAAGCGTAAATGAAATTGAATGCAAAGGGAGAAGTCATACTTTGTCAGTTTTACTATGTATACTAAATTTTTGTGTTCAAAAAATTTCATGAAAGGAATTGACAATGAGACTTTTTATACAGTAAAATAATGACCTGTAATGGGGGAAGTTTAGGGAACCTTATTTGATTATTTCATCCAACTTCATTAATAGAATCGTCAGATGAGGGAATATCAGCAGACTATGAAGACATCAATGAAATCAAGCGGGAGATGATAGACTTGCGATGCCAGTTAGACCGAGAAAGACATCTGCGAATGATGCTGCAAAAACAAAATCAATCGTATCATTTGAAGCAAGAGCATCCAACATTTGTTGAACATATGCAAGAGAAGAGACCTAAAGATAAAGTTGTACGTGTTTTATTAGCAGTTCTATTATCCTTGATTTGTTTTGATATTCTTACAATAAAAGTATACTATCTTTCAAATCCAGATATGTAATTTAAATGCATATACATGTACTGAAGAAATTTGAGCAAGTATACATGATTTTCATATTATCTGTATTAAAGGGTGTTTGTTGTTTCTTTGCAGATTTATGTTGAATCTGTTGAATCGGAGGAAGATGAGAAGTTGCATGAGAGAAATTCTTCGGACTCTGAATCTATGTCACGGAGGAACTTGGAAACAATAGTGGAGGCCATCCGACACCTAGAAGGAGATCGTTTAGGGATAAATGATAGGACAACTCACCATCGGGGCATTCCTCATAGTGATGAGAGTGAAAAAGACAGCAGTGTCACTTGCAGTGAGCCTGAAGACCGTGACTCTCCTATTCCATTTGAGAAAATAGACTCAAGACAATCAGTTTCTGTCACAGAAGTTCCATTGACTGAAATTCACCCCCATCTTTCTCCATCACAGTATCACGAGAAATTCCCCATTGCCACCAATTTATTACATCGACCCAATATGGTTCATTACTACTGTCGACCAAACGTTATAGTTCAGAAGTCATAAGACCAATCATATGGGTCTCATCCTTCATCCTGCCACTTTGTATATAGAGACATCATAGTTTCATTATATCATGGAAAAGAAACTGCCCTTTTAAAATTTCATGATTTTTTTTTATTTTGCAACTAGTTATTTGATTTATTTAAAGAAGTGCTTCTCACCCAAGGAAATGCTCAATTTTGTTATAAATGTATATACAATGTGCTGTCTTCTGACCTATGCTTTTAACAGACCATGAAACATGCAAGTGCATTGTTATAAAGGTTTCATCTTTTCCATTGAGTATTAAAAATTGTCAGATTTCTTTTTTCCATTAATATACAGGGAGGCATTTTTCCCCATTTTGACTTGTAATTTATTACCATGTACATTTGTAAATAGATCATGTCATTGTATCAAATTTTGTTATTGCAGTTGTTAAGTTTGATCTTTTTGTATGAATGAGTTGCCTGTACAAGCTTTAAATGCTGCTCTAATGATTTCTGTCTTTAATATCAAAATTGATTATTGAAAAAAAGAACATATTTTGGAAAACATAACCAATAGGTCTTGTTTAATTTCTTTGCCCACATATTCCTGTTATATTCCTGTTGCTTTTTTGTGTAGGTGCTTATTGTGACAGAATATAACTATCTAGTGGAATCATTCATCAAGTGTGACCTTCTCAGTTACACAGCATTATAATACATGTTTGGTAAATGTTGCAGGAGCTGTCTAGTGTGTGTTATTGAATGATTATTGTGAATTTGTTTTGACATGGATCATCTTTTTTTTTAATCAAGATGACCATCAAAATGCACATAGCAATGCATATGTCACCTCAGTTCCTCATTATAGAATTGTAGAAAAATTCCTATCTGGAGGGATGCGAGGTGACTTGTGGCAGTTTTTGTGTTTGTTGATATTTAAAGTGTTTTCTGCTAAACCATGCTTTCTGTCCATCTTTTAACATGATGAAATTTCTTTTTCTCTTCCTGTGAAAATTGTATATGTTACAAGAAACCGGTAATATGGAAGTTTAAGCTGCATTTTTTGGGACTCAAGTTTATGCCACTATGTGCATTTTATTTTTTTTCTCACCACTTCATACTGTATATATACCACAATTATTTATTGTACAATATACAACTCTGAAAATAGGTTTCAAGATGTAATTTACCCTCAGAAGTAGAATATTACCAACAAAAAAAAATTATGATTTAATTTTTAAAAAAAATGGTTGTTTAGTTTTGAAATGTGAAATCAGATATTTTAAAACTAATATGCATTAAATAGTGCTATGAAAGATACCGTTATCAAATTGTTGCTGTTTTTTTTTTTCTTTTTTTGATTTTTTTTTTTTTTTTTTTTTTGTAAGGGATGCTTATAATTTTATACATTTTTTGTGTATTTATGTTAGACTGATTTGAATATTTGTTGTTTCCTCTGGAACTTGAAAGTCTGAAATTATAATAAATTGTGGTAACTGTAAATCATGCGTTCTTTCTGTTTTACTTTTTATGGATGAAAATTTATGAGTTGTGGTAAAATGAATGATTAAGATGGAATGAGAAAGCATTGATAATCAAAGAAATAGTCCCATTCATATCATGTTACGGTTCCCTGCATTCAAAGTGTAAAGTCATTGATTAAAAAACAATATACTGTTTACAGATAAACGGACTTCTCCTTTTGCGACGGTTGTTTTCCTATAGCGACATGCATATTGCATTTGGTGTAAGCTTTTAGCGTAAAATAAGTTGGCGCCTTGGCACACTGCCAGGCAGATCAATACCAAAGCCGATACTATTTTTTTTATTCATTTGCACATGCATTAAATGAGCTGGCACAGGTCCAAGTGATTGACAGAGCCTTGTCCATTGTTCTTACCCATTTGTAGTTTTTTTTAAGGCTCTTTAGTGAATCGCATGTTAAATATCTTTATATTGTCTGAAGATTTTCTCCAACTTTTCTGTTCTCGGGGGCAGTTTATCGGGGCGATTATTTATTTAATGTTGGTGTCCTATTGAATTTGGATTTAGTCTGTCTCGCTGGCAGTATGCCAGGAATCAATATTCATTTGTGAACAAGTGGCCAGCAAATAATTCTACAACCTCACTATCTAAAAAAAAATTATACCCCCTAAAATTCAATCAAATCGTAGAAATTAAAGGGGCATGGGAGTAAGATCTAAAAACTGAATTTAAGTAGAATGTAACGCACCGGCAGGTATAACCTTGACTAACAGTTGTAATCAGACCCTGGGGCCATAAAACTAAGACGAGCTCACTTTTGATCTCAGTCTCACTTTTCCACTATTAATTCCTTTGGTAATAACGAGAAAGAGATCAAAAGTGAATTCCTTTGGTAAAAGTGAGACAGAGTGAGCTCATCTGTTTTATGGCCCCGGAGTCAGATGCTAAAATAACAAGCTAATTTAGAGAATTTGTATCCCCCGCTTAAGGAAAAAAAGAGGGTGGGAGAACTCGAAACAAAAAGGCAGATGGAGAATTGAAAAAAAACGCTATCCTTAACTTTTTAGCTTTTGGCCTTAAAGTCATTAGTAGTCTTTTTAAGATTTTAAAATAAAAATCATGACCTGGAGTTTCGTTGCAAAAGCTTACAGAGAAGTATAAGATTATCATCTGAAAACTATGTACTCAATATACATTAAAAAATTCTGACCTTGGTCTTTGTCCTCCAAATCAATGGGAGTTTAAGTCATATTGGCTAAAAGTAAAAATTTCATTGCAAAACCTCAAAAAGAACTTGAGTTATCACCAGGAGACTATTTTATACAAGATATGAATTTTTTACCTTGACCTTTTGACCGAAAAATCAAAAGAGGTCTTCTTTAAGACATTAGAGGTTACTATATAAAATTTCATAGAAACTTAAGTTATCATCTGGAAATCTTTTTTTGCATTGTATGAATTTTAAACCTTGACCTTTGATCATTTGACCTAAAAATCTCTAGGGGTTTTCTTTAAGTCAATAGAAGTTATGTTACTTCATTGAAAAAGCTTAAAGAGAAATAAAGTTTTCATCTGGAAACCATTTTTGCAATATATAAATTTCTGACCTTTGACCTTTTGACCTCAAAATCAACACAGGGGTCTTTTAAAGGCCATAGAGAAATGTGATATTATGTAATTATTACTGTTTTTGAGGTCAATACGATGGTTAAGACAAGTTCGAAGTACAATATTCACGGAGCCCGAAGGGTTTAGAAAAAAAAATAATTGTTTTATTTTATGATTAAATGATACAAACTCGTTAAGTAATCCATGCCATCTTACTGGTTTACATGGGCAGAAGTCCTAGTCAAACGCAACGAGAAAAGCGGGGTTTAAAATAAACATAACCAGTTGTATTAATTTGATATTTTAAAATAATTTCGATGCATGCTATGTACAAAAAATGAATGTGAGACACGTATGATCAATTTTGAATTGGGGAGGGGGGGGGCTATAAGGGAAAAAACTGATAACACCTGACACAGCTTATGTTGAAAGTTAAAGTTTCTCAGATGCAAGTGAAACTCCGAGGTCAAGAGATCAAAATAGTTAGTACCCAAAGAAAAGTCTTGTTACAAGGAAAACATTTGTGAAATATGAAAGCCCTAGCACCAACCTTTCAATAGTTTAAGTTTTACAAAAGTAGGTCAAACTTTAAGGTCAAATTGTCAAAATTAATGGTACCCAAGGGAAGGTCTTATCACAAGGAATACATTGTGAAATATGAAAACCGTGACACCAACCATTAAAAAGTTATGGCCAAGATTAACGTTTTACACAAGTAGGTCAAACTCCAAGGTCAAAAAGTAAAAAATTTTGGTACCCAAGAGAAAATTCTGTCACAAGAAAAACATCTTTGGAATTTGAAAGCCCTAGCTTTAACCGTCCAAAATTTATGGCAAAGGTTAAAGTTTTTTTTAAAAGAAGGTCAAACTCAAAGGTCAAGGACAGAGGGTCAAAGGTCAAAGAGGGTACACAAGGAAAGGTCTTGTCAAAAAACATTTGAACTATGAAAGCACTCGCACCAACCTTTCAAAAGTTATGGCCAAGGTAAAAGTTTGGTAAAATATTTGCAAAAGTGAGTTAAACTTTAAGGTCAAAGCCAAGAGGTAAAAAAAAATGTTGGTACCCAAGGAAAGGTCTTGTCACAAGGAATACACTTGTGAAATATGAAGGCCATAGCTCTATTCAATCAAAAGCTATGGGCAAGGTTAAAGTTTTTGCGGACAAACAGACATACGGACGGACAGAGCAAGAAATTTATTCCCCAGAATCTTCGATTACGGGGACATAAAAATCTTTGACTAGCCCCCCCCCCCTTCCAAAGAGGAAAATTCTCCAAACTCCAATTTTTTTCGGGGGAAGAGGCTGTTGGGAGGATGGGGCAACTAGCCTTTCTATGAACATTTTTATACTAAATTGAAAGTAAACATTTACGTTGAGAAAAAAAATGGTGTAGGGAGGGAAAGACCTCTTGCATTCCCCATCAACCACCCCGCCCCTATATGCCTAAATGTTACACGTATATTCACCTGAGTGGAAGTCGAGTGCAAGTGAAACCAGCAAATTCAAAAAATTGTGGTCCCCCGCTTTCGTAGTTTTAGTGGTTGGGATGCAATTATTAATGGTATATTGTATCTGTCTTGTTTGTGTGTCCTTCAAACTTCTTGATCAAGGTCATGAAGTTAAAAATGATATACCTTTCTGAAAGATGTTTCATAGATAATGTACATGTAAAATATGAAAGCCCTATCTTCTCTCAAAAAATCTTACCAATGTAAAAAAAAATGAAAAGAACTGTAGGCTAAACTTAAAGGTCGAGGTCACGAGCTCAAAAACCAGAGTACATTCGCAAAGGTCTTAAAACACGTGATGCATTTGTCAAAGATGAACGTCCTATCTTCTGTTATACAAAAGTTATCAATGTTAAAAATTTTTGAAATCAGGTCAAACTTCAAGGTCAAGGTCATGGGGTAAAAAATCATAGCATGTTCGGAAACGTCTTGTCACGGGTAATGCACATGTTAAATATGGATGCTCTATCTTCTGGCATTTAGAAGTTATATCCAATGTTAAAATTTTTGAAAAGAAGTTCAAACCTAGAGGTCACGGGGTCAAAAATATTGGTATTTTTGGAAAGGTCTTGTCACAGGTAATGCACTTGTGAAATATGAAAGCCCTATCTTTTCTCATTTAAAATTGTAACCAAGATTTAAGTTTTTGTGACAGACAGACTGACAAACGGACAGACTGACAGATGAATGAGATTTAATGTTCCCTCGCTTTCCATAAGGTTCTGACACAATAACTTACCAGACCTATTTGAATCAATTCGGAATTTCCTGATGTATTTTTAGTCCAATGTAGGAAAAAAAAAGCAAATTCAAAGAATTGTGGTCTCCCGCTTTCGGTGTCTTAGTGGTTGGAATGCATATATGGCATATTGTAATTGTCTTGTTTCTAGATCAAGGTCGTTAAATCAAAAATGATAATCATACCTTTCTGAAAGTGTTGTCATATGTAGGTAATGTACATGTGAAGTATGAAAGCCCTATCTTTTCTCATTTAAAAGTTATTACCAATGTAAGAAAAAAATGATAAAGACGGTATGTTAAACTTATAGGTCAAGGTCATGAGGTCAAAAACATTCGGAAAGGTCTTAAACCGGTCATGCACGTATCAAATATATATGCCCTATCTTCTCTTATTCAAAAGTTATTAGCAATGTTAACATTTTTAAAAATCAGATCAAACTTCAAGGCCAAGGTCATGGGATTAAAAATCATAGTACATTTGGAAAGGTCTTCTTGTAACAGTAATGCACAAGTCAAATATATATGCCCTATCTTCTCTCCTTCAAAAGTTATCAACAATGATAATTTTTTATATATTTTGGTCAAACTTGAAGGTCAAGGTCACGGAGTCAAATATCATAGCACATTCTGAATTTTTTTTTTAAATTAAGGTCAAACTTGAAGGTCAAGGTCATGGAGTCAAATATAACACACTCTGAAACTTCTTGTCGCAGGTAATGCACTTGTCAAATAAAAAGGTCCTGTCATTCAAATGTTATCTCCAATGTTACAATTTCTAAAAATTAGGTCAAACTTCGAGGTCATGGTCACGAGGTCAGAAATCGTAGTATATTTGGATTTCACAGGTAATATACATGTTTAATATGAATGCCCTATTTTTACACATTCAAAAGTTATAGCCAATTTAAAGCAATGTTAATTTTTTTTTGAAAATTAGGTCAAACTTCAAGGTCACGGGGTAAAAAGTCATAGTAAATTTGGAAAGATCTTGTCACAGGTAATATGTACATGTGAAATATGAAAGCCCTTCTCATTCAAACGTTATAACCAAGGTTAAAGTTTTTTGTGACGGACAGACTGACAGATGGACAGACTGACAGACAGACGAATGATATTTAATGTCCCCTCGATCGCTTTGGCGAAAGTGGGGAA